ACTGCCTCACTGAATAAGGTACAGAGCCACGTGGCTAACACAGACAAGAATAATGGGCTAATATAAGAGTTAATAGCCAGGCGGTGGTGGAGCACACCTGTAATCCCAGCACTTGGGAGGCAGAGGCAGGCGGATCTCTGTGAGTTCGAGGCCAGCCTGGTCTACAAAAGGAGTTCCAGGACAGGCTCCAAAGCTACAGAGAAACCCTATCTCGAAAAACCAAATAAATAAATAAATAAATTATAAAAGATATACTCTTTTTTAAAAAAAAGAAAGAGTTAATAAGAAGCCTGAGCTAATGGACCAATCAGTTTACAACTAATGTAGACCTGTGTGATTTCTTTGGGACTTAATGACTGCAGGGACCAGGCAGGACAGATAACTCAGTCAATAAAAACCAAAGAAAAGGTCAAGGGGGAAGGGTGGAGCTGTTAGCTCAGTTGGTAGAGTGCTTGCCTGGCATGCACAAAGCCCCAGGTCCCAAACCAGCACTACATAAAACAGGTATGGTGGCACACGTCTTTAAGACCAGCACTTTAGAGATAGAGAGGCAAAAGAATCATGAGTGCAAGTTTATCCTTGGCAACACAGGACCAAGCTCGGCTACAGGGCACTCTCTTATCCACAGAGTACATCAGTATTATTAGACTTTTACCCAGCGATCTGACCTGCAGAGGTACGCAAGTGCTCTACCACTGAGCTACAGCCCTGGCCTCCAACGCTCTTGGTTCTGGACACTTTGCTCACATATTTTAAATTCTAACTAAGCTGTCTGGGACCTCTCTTTGGTGTCATAGTTAGTTACACTGTTGAAGAACAAGTGCATTAGTAGTATTTCTTCTTTCCAAATCCTTTTATCTTTTTTTACTACTTAAACGAAATAGCAATAATAGCTGTAATAAAATTCTTGCCTCACTTAAACTTTAGCAAAAATGCTTTGTAATGATTCACTATTAAATCTGGGACACAACATAGGCTTCTGATGGGAAGCTGTGCTGGCTAGTTTTATGTCAACTCGCCACAAGCTAAAGTCCTTTAAAAGGGAGCCCTGACTGAGAAAATGTTCCCCATTAGACTGGCCAGAGGGCAAACCTGTGGTGCATTTTCTTGACTGAGGATTGATGTGGGAGGGCTCAGCTTACTATGGGCGGTACCATCCCTGGGCTGGTGGTCCTGGGCTCTATAAGAAAGCAGGTTGGTAGCCGGGCGGTGGCGGCGCACGCCTTTAATCCCAGCACTTGGGAGGCAGAGGCAGGTGGATCTCTGTGAGTTCGAGACCAGCCTGGTCTACAAGAGCTAGTTCCAGGACAGGCTCCAAAACCACAGAGAAACCCTGTCTCGAAAAAAAAAAAAAAAAAAAAAAAAGAAAGCGGGTTGGTCAAGCTATGAAGAGTACTCTTCCATGGCCTCTGCATTAGCTCCTGCTTCCAGGTTCCTGCCCTGACTTCCCCAAGCGATGAAGTGTGCCCTGAGAGGAATAAATAAACTCTTTTATCCCCAAGTTGCCTTTCGTGATGGTGTTTTATCACAGCAACAGAAGCCTAACTACAACAGAAGACTTCTTGGTTCTGGGTATTTAACCCAAGATCTCTTGCTTGCTATGGATCTACTGAATTCAGTCAAATACTACATTCCAATGGATGCCACTTGTGCGATGTCCAAACCATCAGTTTCTGCCTTTTAATCTGTTGACACAAATAATCTGATTAATCTTTATCATGCTGATTTCACTGTTTGAATAATTTGGGCCTGACTGAAGACTGAAGAGCATTATTTTGGTGCTTGGGAGTGAACACAGCCTCACAAAGGCTAAACACCTGTCAGATCACAGCTATACCCCAGCCCCAGATCAGGATTTTTATTATTTAACTGTAGCACACCTTCTGTGTCTGCAACTCTAGTTCCAAAATCTTAACCATGACTAAAAAAAATAAAGGTCTAACTACTGATCTGCTTGCCTAGCAGTGTTTAAAATAGTAAAATATTAAATTAAAAACAGCCTGCTAAGACCACTCAGGGGGTAAAGGTGTCGCCTTGCAAGTGTAGTGGCTGAGTTTGACCCCTGGAGCCCACATGAATGTGGGAGGGGAGAACTGACTCCACAAAGTTGTCCTTTCAGCTCCGTATGCACACCACGGCAAGCACACACGCAAATACAAACTAAGTTATGTGACCGAAAATAAAGAGAAATGAAAATTAAAGACGTCAGTAACACTATGTAAGAAACTCTCAAGAGTAACAGAGGCAAAACCAGATTACAACAGGGTAAGGAGAAAGTAACTACTTACTACATGCCAATGAGCTGAGCGCATAACTGCTTAGTATATACCGAATGGGTGTTCTAATCCTACCAATACTGCTTGGTGAGGATTCCTAGCCCTAGCTTTCTTTTTGTCTGTTTGGGTTTGGGGGGGTTTCAAGATGGGTTTTTTTGTTTTGTTTTTGTTTTTTGTTTTTTTGTACAGCTTTGGAGCCTGTCCTGGAACTTGCTCTCTGGACCAGGCTGGTCTCGAACTCACAGAGATTTGCCTGCCTCTGCCTCCTGAGTGTTGGGATTAAAGGCGTGCACCACCACCAATAGGCAGTATCTTACAGAAGAGGAAACCCAGTCAAAATAGATTAGGTAATTGACAAGGATGTATGCGGGCATGTAAGTGGCAGAGGCTGATTCTCTCGACTCACTGTTATCACACAATACCAGGGCCAGTATGAAGGCTTCACATGCTATGAACGCACCAACTACATCATTATGGACAATAACTTTAATAAGCACACAATTAGGCCGGAGCGGGGTGGGGGTGGGGTGTGGCGCACACCTTTAAACCCAGCACTCAGGAGGCAGAGGCAGGTGAATCTCTGTGAGTTTGAGGCCAGCCTGGTCTACAAAGCTAGTTCCAGGACAGTCAGGTTACACATAGAAACCCTGTCTCAAAAACCAAAAAAATAAAAATAAAAATAAACCATTAAGAACAAGTTTTGTGGTACTAGAAAGAAGGCTCAGCTGCTCTTCCAGGGGACCCGGGTCAGGATCCCAGCACCCCAGTGGCAGTTCACAAGTGTCTAAGATTACAGGCATGTGCCATAGGCGTGGGCCACAAATGGAATTCTACAGATTTTCCACAATCAAAAACCAGCCTGTAGGTCCACCATCCTACACTATGCCTCCCCCATCAGGACCATGTCTCCTCAGCTGTGTGTTCAAGAGGAGGGGAGCACCAAGGACGAGACGGAAGAAGCATGACGTAGTAAGTTGATGCTCTCCTGAACATGTCTGCACAAAAGCAAAGACTGAACCAGCATCGGTCTGGGAAAAATCACAGTTCCAGAGCTGTGGTGTGCCTTCAGTTTAATTTCCCGAATGTTAAACCCACACCTGGATCAGAGACTTGGAGCTGAATGCCTCAGTTATGTGGAAATCATGGACATCATCCCTTGGTTTGCTGTGTCAAACTATGACGGCAGACAAGAACTGACCTCATTCCCTAGCCTTGCCAAGCAGGCTACCACTATTGGGTTTCTGCACAGGGCCTGGTGGCACATACCTATCACCCCAACTATGAGGCTGAGACAGCAGGATCACAACCAAGCCATACTGAGAGTTACAGGCTAGCCTGAACTACACAGTGAGACTGTCTCAACAACAAAGAAAACACTTTTTTTTAAAGCCAGGCTTAACTGGCATGGTGGCGCACACCTACTATCCCAGAACTAGGGCTTCTGAGACAAGAAAATCGGGAATCTAAGGTCAGCATCAGTGAGCCTGAGCTGTCCGAGGTTTCATGACACCCACTCCCATCTCCAGTACTCCGAAGATTAAAACCAAAACAATACCGTTATCACCCTGTCAAGCGTGGCAGGCTGGTACACACCTGTATCTCAGAACTAGCAAATCTAAGCCAGGAAGATCAGTAGTTGAAGGCTGCGTAGGGAATTCCAAGCCAACCTAGATGGAAGATATCTAAGATGACAGCGCACAGAATTTCACTGCTTCGTGTTGGGTTTGTGTGGATGGGTGGCTCCCTCCCACCTTCTCTCCAGCAGGAGAATGTCACCAACAACCAAAGTCAAAAAAACTAAAACTGGTCGGTCGGTCTCTCTCTCTCTCTCTCTCTCTCTCTCTCTCTCTCTCTCTCTCTCACACACACACACACACACACACACACACAAACACTCACAAATGGAGAGTGGAGAGACTGTCGCGAGGGTTAAGAGCACCTGCTACCCCAGGGGGCCGGAGTCAGGTTCTCAACCCCCACCTCATCAAGCACCTAACAATGGCCTCTACCTCCAGTTCTAGGAACACAACGCCCTCTTCCGGATTCTGAAGGTACTTGCACTCACGTGCACAAACAGACACAAACGCAACGTTTCTAAATTTTCCAAAACCGAATCTTTTTTTTTTTTTCCTTCTTTCCTAAAAATTGCAAAGCACGTCCACTCAGCCGTATCCAGACGACCACAAGCCTTGGCTCCGGGAGCCAGGACTCTGCAGGCCTCAGGCCTCGGGAGGATGGAACGGGCCGGGAAGACTAGCGCAGCTGAAGCGGGCGGAGGAGCCCGGGCACCGCCGCGCACCGACCGCCCGGGGTCCTGGCCCCCGCGCCCGCTATACCGACCCCGACCGTGTCCCCTACTCACCGCCCCACACAGCGGCGGCTCCGCGGACGCCCGCGGCCTGGCCCCGGTCACTCGCGGCGGCGCGCGGCGGGTCCCGGGCTGCTCCGCACCATCCTCCCCGCCGCTCCGGAGACAGCGAGTGGCTCCCCGGGGCCAACGGGACGAGCCGGAGACAGGCCAGAGCGCGCCGAGGAGACGCCGGCTCCGCTCGCCCGCCGCGAACGCCGGCCTTTCCGGGTGAGAGCAGAAAACCACGTCACCACAAACGCCGCCGTGACCTGTGACACCCCGCGCGCGACGGCAGAGCGGCAGGGACAGAATTGCTCGCGCGCGGGGGCGTGGCGTGCGGGGAGGGGGCGTGTCTTTAGTTGGTTACCGGGCCGGGAAAGGTTAGGGACCGTGAAGGGTTTCGCTCAAGTTCGCGGATCGCGGTGAGCTTGTTCGGTTCCGTCCGGGAGTGCATCTGCGTGTGCAGTGCATGGTGTGTACCGGGTGAGAGAGTAAGGAGGGCACAATTTTCGTTCATTTCTGTTGGCGTTCTGGGTTGATTTTAAGACACCGTCTCGTGAATTGCAGCCCGGCTTCGCCATTTCTAAGGAACCTAACGTAGGTTCCAACTATGTTGCCTAGCCTGACTCCAAGTAATTGATGGGAAAAAACAATAATCTCAAAACTGGGTGTGGCAGCGCCTAACTTTCATCCCACAGCTCGGAAGCTCAGGCAGGCGGGTCTCTGAGTTGAAAAAGAAAAAGAAGAGAAGGAGGAGGAGGAGGAGGAGAAGAGGAGAAGGAGGAGGAGGAAATAGATCTCTTTCTCTCTCTCTCTCTCTCTCTCTCTCTCACACACACACACACACACACAAACACAAAACCCACATAAACAAAATGAAAGTATTCCCACAAGGCAATATGTTTTCGTAAAAGGGGTGAACCCTGACCCAAACCAAAGCCGATGGGCTGAACCCTCCTTAGCTTGCTGCTCAAGCCGCCGTGCCTGCCAATTACTGCCACGCTTCCCGGCTATCAGGCTATCATGGACTCGAACCACCAGGAACCGTAAACCAAAATCAGCTCTTTCTTCCATCAATTGCTTTGGCCATGGTGTCTTCTCACAGCAACAGGAAGGCTAACACAGCCCTCCTCTCCGTAGACACGACTGGTTTAGAACCTTCTGCACGGGGTCTCTATTGCCTCCCTGGAGAACGGGACATTTCATTATTTCATGTCTCAGTCCTCTGGAACCTAGTTGACCTTTGAAGAGGCAAAATATTTTTTAATCCCTCTGAGCACATTAATGCAGACCTCCAGATACGATTATTGAAAACTTGTCCACTTTTTTGGTCTTGTCTTTTTTTAGAGATAGACAGACAGACAGAAAGAGTGCCAGGGCAGGGCTTTCTCTGTAGAGTGCCTGCACTGGGGCTGCACAGAAACCCCTGTGTGAGTGGTGGTGGTGGTGGAGCGAAGAGATGGGAGACAAGATCTTGCTCTATAGCCATGGCTGGTCTAAAACCCAATATGTAAACTATGCTGGTCTCAAAGATCCACCTGCCTCTGCCTCCCATGTTCTGGGATTAAAGGCGTGCGCCACCACACTCATAGTCTTGCACTTTTAACTACCGTGTAATCTTTAGAAAATAGTTGGGCAAAAACCAAACACTTTAAACTTTGTATTGTACACTCATGTCATTTAAGCCAGTCTCTAAAATTATTAGAAAGAGCAAACCAATAACTTCATTGATATAAGAAGAGGTTTGGTATCAAAGTATTAAACTTTAAAGCTTAAAAGTTTTAATACCAGGGTTGGAAAGATGGCTCTGTAGTCAAGAACACCAGCTGCTCTTTCGGGAGACTCAGATTGGATTCCCAGAGCTTATAAAGCAGTAGCAACCATCTATAACTCCATTTCATCTGTGGTGCACAGACATACATGCAGGCAAAACTTCCGTACACATAAATTTTTAAAAGTTTTAGTATCGGCCAGGCGGTGGGGGTGCGTGCCTTTAATCCCAGCATCGGGAGGCAAAGGCGGGCAGTTCTCTGAGTTCGAGGCCAGCCTGGTCTACAGAGTGAGTTCCAGGATATCCAGGGGCTGCATGGAGAAACCCTGTCTCAAAAAAACAAAAACAAGCCAGGCAGTGGTGGTGCACACGTTTAATCCCAGCACTCGGGAGGCAGAGACAGGAGGCCAGCCTGGTCTACAGAGCGAGTTCCAGGACAGAGTTCCAAAGCTGCAGAGAAACCCTGTCTCAAAAAAAAGAAAAACAAAACAAAAACAAAAACCCTGAGACTGGAGTAGCTATTGAGAGTTATTTTAGGCAGGGAATCCTCTGTATCCTCTCCATGGTCTGACTTCAACAGTATTGTTACTTTTTATTTAGTACCTATTACCTAGCAAATATTGTATTGGTTTGAATGAGAATGGCCCCCATAGGCCCATATGTTTGAATGCTTGGGCCCCAGTTAGAGGAAACATTTGGGAAGGACTAAGGGTGTGGACTGTGTAGGTGTGGCCTGGATGGGGTGGGTGTGTCACTGGGGGAAGTTTGCGAATTTAAAAGTCCACACCAGGCCCCAGTATCGTCTCTCTCTGCCCATGCTTTGGATCGGGTTGTAAAGCTCTCAGCTACTGCCCCAGTGCCATGCCTGTCTGCTCCTGCCATGATCATGGACTAACCCTCAGAAACGGTAAGCAAACCCCAGTTAAATGCTTTCTTTTGAGTTTCCCCAGTGGTGTGTCTTCATAGCAATAGAACAGGTACCTAAGACAAATACAGAAAACAGAAAAGCAGCTAAAAGAAATGTAATGTGATGGCATCAGCCTGTTCTTTCTCTGTAGCCTGTGTTTGTCACTGTGACTGGAAATGAAAAACAAAAGCGAGGATCCTCAGGGTGCAAGGAAGTCAGGAGTGGGCCACTGGAACCAGATTACAAACATAAAGCAAAAGGAGTCTTAAGGGGAGAGAAGTTGGGAATTGTGCTGCAAGCCTTTAATCCCAGCACTCAGGAGGCAGAATGGCAGCTCTCTTTCTAAAGTCAAAGCCAACCTGGTCTAGAGTGAGTTCCAGGATAGTCAGGTCTCTAACATGAGCAACCCTGTCTCGAAAAAAACAAAACAAAAGGGGGGAGGGAGAGGAAGGAACTAGTTTGGAGACTGTGGGCTAGAGGAACAAACATTAGGACCCAGCCAAGCCAAGCATGGTAGCTCATGGGAGACTCTCTGCGGTTCCAGAGTGTCTCCAGGGCTGTGTTTTTATTAAGGGCAACTACATACAAAGACACTATAATCCTTAAGCCATGTTTATAAGGAAATCAAATGTTCTACTTGATTAATATCAGGGAGAACAAAGACGAGGAAGTACAGGAAGAAAAACATATGGGAACAGAACACCCTGTCCATCTTAGGAAATAGATCGTCGAGTTGGTAATATCTGTTATAAAGATCATTTCCTTCTGTCCTTAGAATGTCAAACGTCAGAGCACTCTCAAACACTGGGTGAGTTTCCTTCACAGATGAGGCTATAAAACGCATAAGCAGAAAAACCTTGAGATATCGCAGAGGTGGATCAGTGAGTTCGAGGCCAGCCTGGTATACAGAGTGGGTTCCAGGACAGCGACAGCTACACAAAGAAACCCTGTCTCAAAAAGCAAAACAAAAAACAAAAAAAAATCTAGCATTTTCTAGCTTTCTTGAGTTGAAAAGCCTGTCGTACAACTGTTTCCCTCTGTCCTGAGCGTGCCAAGGAGCAGGGTGCTGCTTTCAGATGGAGAATGTGTTTCTTTCTCATTAGGTTCAACTCCCTCTAGGGTGGTTCTCCTAGGGTGAGAACTCCGAGCTCAAATGCTTTGCCTTGTCCATCTCTGACTGACCCCCTCTCAGGTTGGGGTCCTATGTTAAGTGCTTTTTTAAAAAATTTTTTAAATAATTTTTTTTATTTATTTTTTTTAATTTTTCGAGACAGGGTTTCTCCGTAGCTTTTGGTTCCTGTCCTGGAACTAGCTCTTGTAGACCAGGCTGGCCTCGAACTCACAGAGATCCGCCTGCCTCTGCCTCCCGAGTGCTGGGATTAAAGGCATGCGCCACCACTGCCCGGCCTTTAAATAATTTTTAACGATTTATTTAACTTCATTTTTATGTGCATTGATGTGAAGGTGTCAGATCTTGTGGAACTGCATTTTCAGACAGTTGTGAGCTGCCATTGAACCCAGGTCTTCTGGAAGAGCAGTCAGTGCTCTTAACCGCTGAGCCATCTCTCCAGCTCCTGTTAAGTGCTTTTAAGAAACAGGCATGTCGGGGGCTGGAGAGATGGTTCAGTGGTTAAGAGCTCTGGCTGCTCTTCCAAAGGTCCTGAGTTCAATTCCCAGCAACCACATGGTGGCTTACAACCATCTGTAATGAGATTTGATGCCCTCTTCTGGCCTGCAGGGATACATGCAGGCAGAGCTCTGTATACATAATAAATTAAAAAAAAAAAGAAAGAAAGAAAGAAACAGGCATGTCGGTACAGTCCTCCAGTTAGCACGGCCAGAAGCAAGCCTGTATGAAATCACCAGGGACAGCCATGGAGCTTTGGATCCAGACCCTGTCCTCACTTCAAGCCAGAGACACCTCCACCCTCATCCAACCTCCAGAAAATCCCAGCCCCATAGAGCAGTGGCCGTTATGCATTTCATAACTGGATCTATACACGGACTTTTCTTAGATACCTTGGTGTTTTCTGCTTTGTGAATCCTATCCTAGGATCATTGCCAATACCAATTCAAAAGAGTGTCGATCACCTGAGCCCCTGTGGGCCAATGCAACAGAGCCATGGGACATATCTCTCCTCAGGGAGAGAGGGTCTGAGCACTCCCCTAGATGGACTTGAAATCTAAGATAAGCCATCAACTTGTTGGGGAAATTTTTGTATAAAGGGTACATTTCAGGACCCTAAACCAGGCCAGCAAGCACACCAGGGCAGGAAGTTCACTTGATAAAGATTTGATCTGAAGAAGAGACACCTCTTAATTAGAAGAGATGATAGTTCATCAAACAGCATGGCCATTTAATCTGTACTAACTTATAAAACTAACAGATGCTTTTCATTTGATCAGTTATAACTTGCCAAAAGAGAATCTCCTCGAAATTACTGTTGGGGAAGGGTTTTGTTTCTGTATTTTCAGGAGAATAAAGGCTTTCAGCTAAGGAATCTAAACACCACCAGACAAATGAGACATCTGAAGAAAACGGGCAAATCATCCAGAAAAAGTGTCTCAAAAAAAAAAAAAGAGTAAATTGGCCTATTAGTATATCACATTTCCAACAGGATAAAATTTCATAAATCTTCCCAAATGTTTGTTTCTGCTGTTGTCTACAAACATATATGCAAATGGTCTTGTTGTCACCGCCATCCCAGTCCAATTAAAGATTAAAGCTGGCTTTGGAGCTGGAGTATGGCTCTCTCCTTCTCTAAACCCAAGCATGCTTACTAAGTGAAATCTAAAACCTCTGTGTCATGTCAGAAGAACCACCTGATATGGGACAGAAGAAAAACAAAAAATTAAGGACTATTTCATTGCTACTAACCCATAATCCTTTGTTTATATACTGATTCTTTAGCAGCTTTTTTAAGGTAAGATATATTTATAATTTATATTTTTTATATTTTTAATATTATATATCTATATATTTAAATATATTTATATTTCATATATTTTTAATTTTTGTCGTGATATTAATAGTCATATTGAGTACTAACTAATTCTAGAAAAAGGTTTCATCTCCCTCCCTGTACATGATTTCAGGTTCGAGTCTCTCTCAGTTTTCTGCAGTGAACCATGAACACACCTCACAGCGATCTTGGAAGTCTCCAAAAGGAGGATGGGGCCCCCAATGACAATCCCTCCAAGACTAAGATAACACCACTAAGCTGAAAAACACAACCTAAAGATTGACTGTGGACTACAAACTGCTTAGAACAATCTCGAGGTGGCTAGCTGAGATGATCCAGCCTAACAGACTACTCTAGCCAGGATCTGAGACAAGCCCTACAGTTTTACATTATGTAGAGACTGGACTACAAATGATACAGCTACCTCTCCCAGGACTTGTAAATTAACCCCAATTTTTCTTTTCAGAATCTCCTAAAGGTGCTGTCACCCTCAGGCAATAGGAAGTAATTTTAAGAATATGATGCCACATTCCAAGGAGGTGGGGTGGGTGATTTTGGGTCACTCAATGAGTTATTGATATTTGTCATTGTTTAGGGGGACTGGTTACAAGTTGTTATTGGTGATGGTCAGGAAAAAAGATAAACAAAGGTAATTAGATTCAAGGTTCTTGTTTTGAGAAGAAAAAAAATGAGGATATATATATATATATGATAAGATAAAAAGGTAGATTATCAAATCTACTTTTAAAAGCAACTACTAGCTTTAAAATATTTACATTGGATTGGATTTTTGTATGTTGTATACAAATTTTGTATATTAATGATGTGGGAGTGATTTCTTTCTAATCTGCTGCTTTCATTGGTTAATTAATAAAGAAACTGCCTAAGCCCGTTTGATAGGCCAACCCTTAGGTGGGTGGAGTAAACAGAACAGAATGCTGGGAGAAAGAAGCTGAGTCAAGGAGTCGCCATGATTCTCCCACTCCAGACAGACACAGGTTAAGATCTTCCCTGGTAAGCCACCTAGTGGGCTACACAGATTATTAAAAATGGGTTAGATCAATATGTAAGAGCTAGCCAATAAGAGGCTGGAACTAATGGGCCAGGCAGTGTTTAAAAGAATACAGTTTCCGTGTAATTATTTCAGGGCATAAACTAGCCATGCGGGTGGCTGGGTGCCGGGGACGCAGCCTCGCCGCTCCTACTACAACATATTAATACACATTTGAGATTAATTTTGTTAGGACATTTCCACTACATTTCCACTCTTTTTCAAGGTATTTTACATATACAACTCATTTACCAATGTAATGCAAATCTATGGTCCTTGAAAATTATTATTACCAACTGTTTAGGATAATAAGGAAATACAAAATAGTAGTTAATCACCTGTTATAAACAAACTTGTAGTCACATTAGGTATGTTTTCTTGGTCAAATAAAGATATATTTTAGATAGACAGGTCATTTTCAAACACCTCAAAGATCTACAGAATATAGCATTTTTTTAAAAGATTTATTTATTTACTATGTATACAGTGTTCTGCTGGCACACCAGAAGAGGGTACCAGATTTTATTACAGATGAAGGGGTACCAGATTTTATTATAGATGGCTGTGAGTCACCATGTGGTTGCTGGGAATTGAACTCAGGACCTCTGGAAGAACAGCCAGTGCTCTTAACCTCTGAGCCATCTCTCCAGCCCCCCCAGAATATAGCATTTAAGATGTTTTTATAGCATAGGTTATTTTTTCTTTTTTTTTATGACAATGAGGCATGTCTGCTCCCAGCAGCACCAACCTACTTCAGAGAAGATGATGGGCACTGAAGAAATGCCACAGGGAGTTTACTTTCTTCATGGCAAAAGTAAGCCACTGGGCAACAAAATGCTCTTTCCTCAACTCGTGACAATATGCTGTCCTAATGGGACAAGAAGATCACAGAAGACAGTGACTGCCAAACCTTGCCGAGACAAGGCAGGGACAGTCCTTCAAAAACTCTGCCTCGGGGCCGGGCGATGGTGGCGCACGCCTTTAATCCCAGCACTCGGGAGGCAGAGGCTGGCGGATCTCTGTGAGTTCGAGACCAGCCTGGTCTACAGAGCTAGTTCCAGGACAGGCTCCAAAGCCACAGAGAAACCCTGTCTCGAAAAACCAAAAAAAAAAAAAAAACAGAAAAAAAAAACTCTGCCTCATAGAAAAGTCTGTCAGATATTCTAGGCCTGTAGGCCAAAGATGGATGCCCTAACATTGCAGAGGAACATTGGGTGACTGTCCAGACAGCCATCGGTTTCTGTCATTTCTCACAGGTTTTTTTTTTGAAGACCCTTGCTTACACTTCATGCTTACTCAGTTAATATTATTTCTTCATTGGGTCTCCAAGGTAGTTAAAGACTAGACAGTTATATCTTTCACTGTTTACAAGACTCAGAAAAGAAATATAAAGTATATAAGATTGAGAGATATCAAAAGATAGTTTTAAATAGTAGTGCAAGTTATGAAAGAAAGTAAATGAGGCACAAGACTTTGGACTTGCCAAGAGAGAATGGATATGGAGTATTTTCTCTGAATTTGTCAAAGGCAAATGGACTAGACATTGTGGATGTATTTACTGCCTGTATATATTGCATATGGTATTGTACTTAGCATATAAAGTTTTTCTTATATTAGTTATAGCCTTTTTTAGACAACAAGGGGAAGTGTAGTGATATTTCATTTGTATCTTAATAAATAAAGCTTGCCTGAAGGTCAGAGAGTTAAACAGCCACACTGGTCAGCCTCACAGACCAGGCAGTCTGGTAACACACACCTTTAATCCCACTAGCCGGCTGGGCGATGGTGGCGCATGCCTTTAATCCCAGCACTCGGGAGGCAGAGGCAGGCGGATCTCTGTGAGTTCGAGACCAGCCTGGTCTACAAGAGCTAGTTCCAGGACAGGCTCCAAAGCCACAGAGAAACCCTGTCTCGAAAAACAAAAAAAAAAAAAAAAATCCCACTAGCCACACTAGTTGCTATAAAAAAAAAAAAAAAACAGGTGGTAGTAGTAATGCCTTTAATCCCAGCACTAGAGGAAGATAAAAAGGAGGAGACAGGTCTCAGGCTCAGTTTCATTCTGAGAATTCATGGAGGCAGGATGGCCATTTTGGTCTGAGGTAGAGGTAAGAGCCAATGGCTGGCTGCTCTGCATTTCTGACCTTCAGGTTTAATCCTAATATCTGTGTCTGCTTTTTATCATTCATGCTATATTCTGTTATGTTATAGCATGGTGTAAATAGATTTGGGGCACCATTTGTTGTCTGAGGTTTTCTGGGGTTTCTATCCTGCCCAGTTCCCACAGTTGTTAAGTCCCAAAGAAATCACACAGAGGTCTTTATTAGTTACAAACTGATTGGCCCATTAGCTCAGGCCTCTTATTAACTCTTATAACTTATATAGCCCATTATTAGCCCATTGAGCTGTCTGACTTATTAGCCTAGCTAGGGTCAAAGATACAAAACAGCCTGATTGTTGCTAGGTCTGGTTAATACCAAATGCAATGATTAATTCCTTATACCCATTTTTGCTCTCAATCTCCTGATATTAAAAAAACTATCGATGAGTGGGTATGTTTAGCAAGCTAACAAACTTTTGACAGGAAAAAAACAAAACAAAACAAAAAAACCAACTCACAATTCCCCATTATACATTTTTTTCTTTAAACCTGGCCAGTATATGCAGTTTTTAAAGTTGCATAAACAAAAATAATAGTATTATGATAAGTTACTGGAATCATTTGGTGATAGTGTTTTATTGAGCCTCTGGAAAAGGGCCCTAAGACAAGAAATTTTTCATTATTCTCTCTCTCTGTTTTTATTTGGTTGGATGGTTGGTTCCCCCACCCCAAGGCTCTTGTCAATTGGCCAGGCCCAACTGGAATGTTGGGTCCCCACCCAGGCAGGAGATTCTGTTCCTTAGAGAAGAAAGGGTTTTCTCTTAACAAGCCTTACCTGCCTACTACTTTAACATCTCCTCCTCTAAGGAACTAAACTACTGTGACTGACCTCTGAGCCAAGCAACTGCCATCTTTGAGCAGGCAGTGTGCCTCCCCCTTGCTAAGCAGAACCTCAGATGGTTTGATGAGAGTTTACACCCCGCCCCTAAGTATCCAACTCCTCTCTACTATCTGGAAACCTTGCACATGGCCTGGAGGAAGACACACACACGTGCACACATACTCATACACCATTGCACATATGCACAAAACACACACACAAACAAACACACAAGCAAAGAACAGAGGGCACAGCCTCCAGCTCAGCTGCGACTTGACCTGACACACACACACACACACACACATTAGAGGGCACGGCTGCCAGCTCAGCTGAGACTTGGCCTGACTTGCAGCAAACAGGGAAGGAAGAAGGGATAGACGCACATGTCCTGAAAAGCTGGAGTCTGGTGGACCAAGGCCACTCTGTGAAATGGCATCACGTACAGAAACAACCCAGAACCTCACAGAACAGCAGGAAGCAGGAGCTAATCTCCTATCTGTAGTTGACCAGCCCCAGGCTGTAACATCTGGGAGAAGGAGGCTGCAATTTCCACGTGTACTTCGCACGCACTAATCAGTCCTTCCTAAGTATTCGCGTTTGCACACACGGTCCACATTCACACTCCAGAGGAAGGCCTTGACATCCCTCTGAGCCTCACCCCATAGAAGACTGCCAAGCCCCATGGGCCTGAGGCACTGGTCCTTGATTTGACAGTGCACACCTGCGCATTTCCTCAGGACCTCGTCTGCTATTTACACAGCCACATGGGGCTTCCTCAGTTCCCCACAAGAGGGGCTGGATTGTTGGGTTGGCAGGGGGGAGGGGCTTCATCTATGTGGGTATGGGAGCCCTTCTTCCTACTGGGTAAGGCTTTTCAAATGTGGCTCATAAGGAAGGAGGCCCACACCCCAGTAAGTAAACCCTCACAGATGCTGTGTAAGGAAGTCCGATAAATACTGAACTTGGATTGACCTGTGCCTTGGTTTCTCAGGGACCTTAGAGGTAGACAGAGCTAACCTCTCCTCCCAAGAAGAAATGTTAGCAACATAAACCCTAGAAACATTTAAGAACCAGATCAGAGGGACTGGAGAGATGGCTTGGCAGGTCAGCACACCGATTGGTCTTCTAGAGGACTCGGGTTCATTTCCCAGCACTCACATAGCATCTTACACACCGCCTGTAACTCTACCTCCAGGGGATCTGACAGCCTCACCCGGACACACATGCAAGCAAACCATCAATGCACATGAAGTAAAAATAAACCATCAAATAATAAAAAAAGATTCAGATCGGAGTTCAGACACCCCAAACACTTTTGGCATCTCTGGGCCCTTGGTAAGGATGCAGATGCCCATGGCATCTGGCTTTCACTCAAGAGAAAAACTGGTTGCTTTTTTTTTTTTTTTTTTTTGCTTTTTCTCTATGGTTTTGGAGCCTGTCCTGGAATTAGCTCTTGTAGACCGCTCTTGTAGACCAGGCTGGTCTCGAACGCGCTCGAACGCACAGAGATCCGCCTGCCTCTGCCTCCCAAGTGCTGGGATTAAAGGCGCGCGCCCACCACCGCCCGGCCTGGTTGCTTTTCTTTGGGATATTTTTGTGCTAAACTGCCTACTCCAATCTTACCTCCTG